CTTAAGACTGGACTTTTGCTCCAAATTGGAAAGCGTGTAGAGGCTATTGGGTTGAAGGATCAGAAGTGGCAGGAAACAAGATCGAAAATGGATGAGATAGAATGGTCTCAAACTGATCCCTATGTTGATTAGGATATGTTTGTAGCTAAGCTTAAGATTAGGGAGTCCATCAAAACCAACTGGTAAGAATTTAATCGAGAACTACTTATGCTTGATCAGACTTCACTTGTCTCTTTGACGAGTTCGGAGCTTGGTGCAGAGAATGGCAAGCTCACTGATGATGCCGGCGAAACGTTTGAGGATGTATCAAGTCCATTGTCAGATGCCGGGAATCATGACAACTACTATGGCAGACGACTTCGGACTAGGTGCGTTCTACATTGTCGCCCTGATAACAAGACCAAGTTGCGACAACGAGGTCAACCCACTTCTACTTATGCTTGGTTGCCGGAGTTAAGGCTAGATAGTGATGAGCCACCTGGAGAAAAGAAGCGACTTAACTTACCCACCCACACCCGCATACATGGACACACACGGACAACAAGCTCATCAACTTAACTAGACCGACATTATGCAATGGGAGCGATGATCAAAAAAGGCCATTAACACTTGATAAATAAGGATAGAATTTACGCTCTGTTTTAATTACTTTGAGCCATCATTGCTGGCTTCACATTTTACGTACACATGAATGCACATAAGGACGCGCAAACAGACACACACACGCTTATTGGCATAGCTCGATCTAGCCAAATTACTATGTACTTCATAGAAATTCATGAGTTTTGAGTAGATATAAAGCCAATGGCAATGTTCAACTCGTTAGCTTGAAGTAGTTGTAAGAACGACAACCATACTCTGGTAATATCCGTCATACAAAATACGAAAGCCTATTTCAGGTATAAATAGGTTTGGAGACTATCAGAAAACGACCAAAGATAACTAAATTCCTGTTAGAAAATAACTAAGTCTCGAAACTAACTTATGCCCGAAAAAAGTAATGCCGTTGGTTCTAATGGCAAGTAAATGTTTGCTTAATCGACAATACCATTATATATGTGACTCGGGGGAAGCATAACTTTCCTTAAATGCCACATTTGCCCTGTGATCCGCTAGTACCCGTAGCTGTGTAATGAAGTAGTAACGTCGCCACTATATTTATTGCCCCATGTCGAATCCTGTTGGGGGTGCTAGTGAGATCAAGGCGATGTCTAAACTACCGTCAATCCCGCATTAAAAACCTTTTGGGATGCAGGGCTAAGTGAACTGTAAAAGCATCGTGAGGCCTATTCCTCTCATTGTGGGTAAAGTTCAACTATTAGTCCTTAAATCACCTTTAGCGACCTAGGCTGACTAAGTTCTTGGTGTGGTGTGAAGGCCATCGTGGAGTGCAGAGAGTTCTCATGAAAGCCGCTGATAAAAAGGGCACCAACCACATTTTATTAAGAGAGTAAAATATTGTGACAGTGAAGGCGTGATTGGAGGTTATAGGTAATGTGATAGGCCAGGGCAGAACGGG